ATAATGCAGGGGAGGGTGGGGGGGGGGGGGGGGGGGAGTTTACCCCCATTGTTTTCTGTCCTTTGTTCTGACTGCAGGTATCTGCAGGTATTTATTCTACCAAAAGATACTGCTTGTCCCTGGTGTGTCCAGGCCCCAAAGAGCTGCTGGTGGGCTCACACAGTCCTTCATGTCTTGCAGAGCAAGGTGTCTGCTGCTTGGACCTTGTGCTGGCATGCCCGGAGCATGTCAGCCCAAAGTTGCTCATGTTGGGCCTCTCTTGCTCCTCCATCCCAAAGCAATCTGCTGACTAATGGTAGTCCCTGTGCTGAATTTGGGTTCAGGGGGAAGACCAGATTCATGCCATTCTTCTGCCTTCATGGGAACAAATCCCCACCACACGTATAGATCCTGGACATTGCTCCCCTAAAGAACCACGCTGCGCCATGCTGAAGTTGGTGGGGATGTTTTCTGAAGGATATGGCTTGTCCTTGCATAGTCAAGTTTCTTGCAGCACAGAAGGAGAAGGAATCTCTTGCAGGCTTCCAGCAAGGTCTTTTTCATGCACAACACTTGTAAGTCTTGCCCTGTGCCCCTGTCAATTAATAGAAAGCTGCAGAAATGCCACTGATGCCTTTCAGCTGTCGTGTTGTCAGGCTCCTTGCTCTGCAGAGCAGACAACCCACTTTTATTTTCTGGGGCTGGCAGGAAATCTTTACTGCCTTCCCTTCCCCACTGTAGCAGTTGCAGGCTCTGTGCTCTTGTTCCCATGCAATTTTGCTCTTGCACAAAAAGCTGCCTGTGATTGCACTTGGCTGATGGCACTTGGCATCCCTTCTTCTGAAATGATACCTTTCTCCCCGTGTTTGAGGAGATCCTGGGGCTGTGAGCACAGGAGCCAGGTGAGAGCTGCAGCATGGTGCTGCCTCAGGCACATCACCTGCCAGCCCTGCCTGCCGCGCTCGGGTCACATCCCTGCCCTGGCGCACATCCCTGCAGCAGTTAATGGGACACTAAATATTACTGCTTACGGTAACCGCATCTCTGCTTCCCCTGCCAAACACCCTACAGATGTTTTGGGGGTGACTAATGCATGACAACACTTGGACCCTCTGGGGTGCTTTCCAATTTAAATGCTATTTTAAAAAAACATCATTAATTTATAAAGTCCGTTTCCGTAACCGGTTCCTTGTGGGTCTTGCACCACGCTTGGTGGGCACACTTGAACTTGGCGATGCTTTCTGCTCCTGGGGCAAAGGAGAAAGATTTTTACTCCTTTAGTTTGGCCAAAGATGGGGAAGAAACAAGAACCTCCAGCTCAGATGGCTCCTCCGGAGCACGTGGGAGTCAGGGCTGGACTGTAGGGGACTGTGCATTTGTGCGTGGGAGAGCAAGCAGGGCTGGAGGTGAGCAGAGTTGGGAGCGGACCATGAAGGTTGCAGTGATGGGCAGGGGTGACCGTGCATCTGCAGGTGGTCTTTGGGGTTGCCTGTTGCTTCTGGCTTGGCTTGCTTTCTTCCAGATGCTGGTTTCCATCATTAAAGGATGGGAAATGGGATTCTGCATTTCAGAGTCCGGATGCAAATTCAGCCTCCCTTGGATGCCTTTTAAGTAGAGGCGCTTCTGTGCCGCTTTGAACTGGGATTTGACTATCAGACCATCTCCTTTGCTGTGTGCTTGTCTGGTGGAGTAGGCTTGGAGCTGCTCCGAGGTTAATAAAACCTTTGGAGGACGCTGGGAAGGCACAGCCCGGGTCACACCTCAGCAGGGAGCACAGCTGGGTACCGAGGGATGGAGACACGGTGGGTGTACCCAGCTATCCAGGGAGGTTTGTCCAGGGCGAGGGAGGAGGATGGAAAGAAATTGTAGCATAATCCCAAAAGTGCCTGCTGGAGGATTAAATCTGTTGTGATCCCTGCTAATCCCGGCTGGGCATTCAGGGCTTCCAGGAGAGCACCATGCCTGCATGCGTTTCATGTATTTCTGTGACAGAGGGAGCGAGTTGTAAGTGTGTCACTGTTACCACTAGTATTCCCTCTTTGGCTCCGACCTTAGTGGCTATGTGTCCTTCTTGCACCCTATTCCCACCTGGCTTTGGCGCTGTCCCCATCTCCCATCACCTCTGCCCACTCGCCTGCATTTTCCCCAGCTCTTGGTGTGCATGTTGAGCCCCCCCCCAGCTCAAATCACCAGCGGCAGAGTGCAGGAAGCAGGAGTTTCTGTGGCCATCGTGAAGTTTCAGAGTTAACATGCTGTGCTGCGGGGAGCAATCGGTCTCTTCCAAAGCTGTTGCTTCAAGTGATTGTACAGTTCTCAATTACATGGCCTCCCAGCTGCTTTACTTGATACTGTTCTCTTGTTTACATTGAGCAGCAGAAGGAACAGGAGAATCCGTCTCCTGCAGCTCTGTCCTTAACCCCTGTGGCACAGTTTGCTTCTGGTGGCCTCCTGTGTTGCCTTGGACTTGCTTGGCCTCCAGTGAGAGATGAGAGCGGCTCATTTAGCCTGCTTTGCTAAATACCAGGTTGTTTCTGGGTTTGCACGCAGGTGATTGAGCTGCCTGGAAGCACAAGTTTGAGGATGCTAAATCTGCTCTTCCTTAGGATCCTCCAAATCCTCCGCCTGCAGAGGATAGGGTGGTGAATCGGGGGGTTGGGTGGTAAGGTAGTGTTGCTGGAGAGCTGGGCGTAGAGTGCTCTGCAGAGGCGGTTATGGCACAGGTGTGAGATCTAAGTGCTTCTTGATGCCCTTTTTAAAAGAAAAAATAATGCTCTTTTAAATGTATTTTCCTTGCTTGCTTAACAAGAGGGTTCATTACTTCTCTTGCTAGTACAGGAAACCAGTGTAAGCACTTTGGAGGAGCAAACAAACGCTGGTCTGCAGCTGTAATTAGATTCGAGCCCAGCTTTAAGCTGGAAACAGATAAGGGGAAAATCAACATGCATTTGCTTTGCAAATTGCTGGAGTGTTTTCAGATGTTCCTATCTTCTCCCAGCTGTGCCTGTGAAACTGCCTATGCAAGGATTTAACCCTTCTTCTACCCCAGAGCCAAACCAGCTGGGGTTTGCCCAGACCCCCTTGTGCCAGGAGAGGATGTCAGGGCCCATGGCAGCAGAAAGCAGGAGGATTCTGGCTGCCTGTGGACCACCACATCCACAGTTTTTGTAATAACCAGCCACGTGCTGTTGTGAAGGTGTGGGTGATGCTCCCAGTGGGGACATGTGTGCCAGTGTGGTTCCTTGGATGCTTGCTGGTGTTCAGCATCCCTCGGGGGGGCTGTCCCCTTCATCCCTGAGCTGTGGTTTGCCTTTATTGAAGTGGCACCCCCTGTTGAAACACTGACCCCTTGGTGTTCACCCATCCTGGAGCCACCATCCTGAGTCCGCTGGTGCCACGACTCTGGATCTGGCTGTAGGAAAACAAGAGGATACTCAGCAAACTATTGCCCAAGGCATAATCTGGGGTCTGTTTGCTTAGTTTCCATGTTTTAAAAAGGGGGTGCCCGTTTTGTTATATAAAACACTTTTCTGTAGCCACTTGAGGTTCGAGGTGGGATTTGTCCAGGGACTGGGGTTGCTGCTGAGGCTGTTGCAGTCCACAGTGCTCTGGCAGAGGATGGGGAAGCCCTGGCAAGCGGGATGTTGATTCTGTTGGTCAGATCCTGTCTTCTGATAATTGCCACTTAAACGCTTCCTTTCCCTGGGCTGCATTGTGGGTTTTCCCCTATTGCAATTTGCTTTCCACTTTGAACAGATGTTAATGTGATTTGGTACCTAAAGATAGGAGCTAACACTGCTCTGTCATTTTTTTCCTGGCTAAGTTATCACTAGCTAGAAAACTGTGACTGCTGCAGTTCCTCTTCCCCACTTCTTCAAAACCATTTGCAGAAAATCTCAGCTTTTAGGCCAATAAATGACACAGAAGGAGGTGATTTCTCATCTTGTACAGGAAGGCAGAGGGGCGGTGAGAGGAGCAAGAACATCCCAAGCCAAGCAGTGGTCCTATAGTGCTGCCAACTGTCCCCTTGCCTGGGTCTCTCCCCAGCCCAGCTCCCTCTGAGGCTGATGTCCAGGTCTCATCCCAAAATGTTCTGGCTGGCCCATACCCACCCATCCATGCTGAAGGATGGTGCTCCTCCAGGCTCGGGGAGGCAACCTGCATGGACTGTGCTGGATTAGTTACCTTGATTAAAGGCATCTGTTCTTCTCAGCCCCTGGGATGCTTTAAACTGCTTATCGTGGTGCCTGAACATCATGAGGGGTTGCCTGGAAAACAAGGCTGCGTTGGCCAGCCCAGGCTGCAAACCTTGTTGAACAGGGGTAGGGTGCTTTGTTCAATTAATGGGATTACCCTTCTGTTGAGCCTGTGGCCTAATTTCACCAGCTGTCACCAGAAAGGGGGTGGGAAGATTTTTCAGATGGATTCTTGAGGGACTTCCCTGTATGGTCCCCTGGTCACCTGCCATCTACTGCCTGCCTTGACTGTCTGGTTTGGTTTTCACCACTGTCCCTCAGGCTCTGCTGAAAATGGACTGCCAGGGGCTGGTTGTCCGGCTCATCCAGGACTTCGTGCTGCTGACCACAGCCGTGGAGGTGGCCCAGCGCTGGAGGGAGCTTGCCGAGAAGCTCGCCAAGGTCTCCAAGCAGCAGATGGATGCTTATGAGGCCCCGCACCGGGACAAGATGGGGGCGGTGGACAGCGAGGTGAGAGCAGATGGGTCTTGGTCTCCATGCGTCCCCTAGGGTTGCAGATACTTCCAGAGCATGTTCTTCTGGAGCACCTTTGGGGGATAAAAGGGATTTGGGTGTGCTGGGGAAGTTTGGGTGTGTTTTTCCCTGAGAATGTGCTTCTTCTGGGATGGGGGTGTGTTGGAGATGGTATCACTTGCTCACTGGCCATCCAGCTCAGCTCTGATCTCCTCTGCCCCATCACCACAGGCCATGTGGAAGCCAGCATATGACTTCCTTCTCACCTGGAGCAGTCAGATGGGCGACAGCTACCGTGATGTGATCCAGGAGCTTCACACCGGGCTGGACAAGATGAAGAACCCCATCACCAAACGCTGGAAGCATCTCACCGGCACCCTGATCCTTGTCAACTCCTTGGACATGCTGCGGGCAGCTGCTTTCAGCCCACAAGACCATGAGGATTTTGCCATCTAGCTCCTGTGGTGATGTTTTTGTCCACATCTCGTTTGCTGGGTTTTTTCTGTGCTTTTTTCCCCTTTTTTTTAAGCAGTTGACTTTAAAAGAAGCGGAGGTTGCTCTCCCTGGGTTTTAAGAGGCCAAAGTTTGGAAGTTCTCCACCGGGACTGGAAATCAGCGGGAGACATCCCTCCTTGTTGGGAAGGCATCCAGAGGGGGATGGCTTTTCATATGGCATTGATACCAGTTAAACTATTTCTTACTAAAAAACTTTAAAGGGGGCAGGGGGGTGGGGAGGGATCATAAAAGAGATCACATTTTTTAGGCATTTACAAATAAAAGTCTAATTTTTGTAACGAGCGGTAGGGGTTGTAACCACTTTGGGGGGGAAGCTGTGGCTGTTTTTTACGTTGTAGAAACTGTTTTTAAATTATCGTTTTTGAGATGAACGTGAGTCATGTAAATACTTATTTTAAGAGGAAGCACAGTAAATGCCTTCCCCCGCTGCCATGGTCAGGCTTTGGCAGACTACCAGATGTGACTGCAAAACACTGTATGAACTCGGGATGTCCTCAGCCTAACAAGCATCTTACACCAAAAAAGGAGCTGCTTTTTTTTTTTTTTTTTTTTTATTCACAGGCCCTGTGAGCAGTTCTGTTGATTTTTGTTTTATTTTCATGTCTCTGCAAACATGCATTTTCTCATTTGTGGACAGGGAGATGCTCGTTGCGTGTTTTCAGATGCACGGGTACTGGTTTTAACCAGGGGAAGTGGTTGCTGCCCCTTGCGCTTCATCCCGCCCAGGTGCTGTCGGACATCTCTGGAAGAAGCTGGAGGTTTGGGGCTCAGCAGAGACCTCCTTGGGAGATAGACCAGGAGGATGGTGAGAGTGGCTCACCCTGCCATGGCAGCAAACTGTTTGGGCTGCTCCTCTCCAGATGCTCCTGCTCTGGGGAAGAGGCCAGAAAAGGGGAGGGAATTGTTGCCATACATGCATGCACACACACACAAACACACACACACAAAAGAAGGAAAAGAGAAAATGTATCTAACTCCTAATTTGAAATTTGAGCTCACTGGAGATGCTCCAGGTGTGCTATGCGACTTAACGCTCATTGCCATTGATTTCAGAGGGCTTTGAATGGGGCTCTTCAAGGCTCCTGAAGTCCAGTTTAATTTGTAAATATTCTTTGCTATAAACCTGGTGCCATTGAGCTAAATATTTGCAGCACCAAGTGCCCGTATTTTTCCCCATTTGTTTTATAGCTGAGTCTTTTGAATGACCTCCCCTCCTCCTTCCGCTTCCCAGCTTTCAAATATTTTACATGGGAGGGAAATATTTTTTGCACAGAAAGATTATTTTAAGTGCAAAGTCTCTTTATAGTGAAGTGCTGATACCACAGAAAGGTTAGCTGTTAAAGGATGATTTTCTTTCAGGTTAATAAGACAAAAAAAAAAAAAAAAAAAAAAAAAAAGAAAAAGAATGGGAAAGGCATCTGGCACATTGTGCCAGCACAGTGGCTTCGGGAGGGAGCAGTCTCCTTTCCTGTTCCCAAAATCGCGTCCTCAGAAACGATCACTCTCGCCAGACCCCACAAGAAGTAAATAGCACCTTAAATTTCTCCTCAGGGGCTTTAAGGAGTTTCCTATGCAACTTAACGTAGCACAGAGAAAGGGTCCGGCAGCAACCAAGCCCACTATGTGTCCCCTTTCTGTTTCCCTGAGGCACCCTAAGAGCACATTTTTCCATGCACAAGCAAAAATCTCCATTGCAATAAGGAATACCTCCTGCCAGAGCGTGCGTGCAGGCAGAGGCATATACTTGCTCCCAGGATTTTACCCAAATCTTGGCTTTCACTGTTCTCTGAAGCAGCACGTGCTGTAGGAGGGCGTTGGTCCTGTGCAGGGTCTGGGGCTCTGCAGAGCAGCTGCACTGGGGACCCCCGAGGGTGTCTGCAGCAGGCGAGGGCAGAAATTTGAGCCTCCTGTGTTTCAGGGATGTCCCTGAGTAATTTCAGTGGTTTTTTTTACACACCCCGCCCTTGTTTTTCCGAACTACCTCAAGGTACTCCGTATACCCAGCTTCTTAACATTTCAGCAGCAGCCTAAAACATGCCATGCTCAGCTCATTGATGGTCTTGTGCCATCCTTAAGACCCACGGGAGTGTGGCCAGCACATTTCGGGGCTGTGGTGTAGCTGCCGCATTAATTTGTCCCTGTCCTCGGTCTGAAATCCAGTCCCTCCTCACATGCCAGGAGTTGGCATGTGTCCTTTGGATGCCTTCTGCCCACTAAATGTCAGGCCCTTCTCCAAAAGCTCCATCTGGGCTTTGCATTACCACCCTTCATGCAGTAACTGGTTGTTGTACTTACTGTTTAATGTTCCTTTTTTTTTTTTCTTTTTTTAAAGAAAAAAAATTTTGGGAAAAAAAAATTCCGATTAAAGCTGTTACTATTCCAGTGCTCCTGAGTAGACGTCATCTACTGTTGTCTCTTCATCTCAAAGCAGCTTGAATGCGTGGGATTAATTTAGTGGGTTTTCCACCATGCAAATGACATGTTTCTCACAGCACGTTTCCACACCCAGAGCCAGCAGTCCTCTGGGGCTGCTCTCAATCCGATCCTCCTTCCCCATGCCTTTCCATCCTGCCCTCTCTGGGGGAAAGTCGGTGGAAATGATCTGGCCTCTCAAGGTGCTGCTTATGCTCAAGCACTAGGTAGGTAAGAAACTTCATGAAGTGGGAAAAGATTTGGTTGCAGTATTTGTTTTGGTGTGGAGATGTTTTTCTGGCTGTTTTCTGAATGGAGAGAAAAATCCTTGTATTTAGCCAAGGCGGTTGTGGTGCTCCTGATATGAACAGTTCAGATTTCAAGCCATGAAACTGAAATATTCAGATATTTGGCTGTGGCTTCAGTTTGCTGAGGGTGAAGAGGACATGCGATGGTTTGATTTTCATCTTTGCACCTTGTGGTCCAGCACAGGGAGGCACCTCTGGGCATTTCCTTCTTGGCATAATGTGACTTGATTTCCAAAGCAAAACCAAGGTCTAGCCTAGGAGAAGATGAAGAGAGCAGGGGAAAAAAATTAAGAAAGAAACCTTTTTGTGGAACTCATGAGCTAAGGAACATTCTTTTTCATTGTCAAAGGGAATGAGCAAACAAGTTCTTCCCAGACTCTTCCAGGGATGATGCACCAGGAGCTAGCTGTTGGCTCTCCTCCTTTTGTCTCCTGATCTCAGCAGTAACTTGTTTTCCAAGCAGATGTTTTCCCATCTAACCCATGTAATTTTTCAGCCCTGCCTTCAGGAGGGTGTTGGTCTCCACAGCAGGGTGATGGACATACCACCGGCACGCTCCTCAAGCCCAGGCTCACACAGCCCTTGCTGCATCGTCCCCGCTCGGTTCGGTGCCGAGACCTGTGGCCATCACAGGATTTGGGCTGTGGATCAGATGCTGTCCAGGCTCTTGGGGATTCAGTCAATTCATGACCCCAGTTGAGGCTCCCTGGAGAGGGCAGAGCTACAGCATGAGCACTGCTGCAGCCTGAAGGCTTGGCCGTGGCTATTGGAGAGCAGCTGTGTTGTGGCTGACATTTGGGCTTTAAAATGGTGCATTTGGGACAAAGTTGTAATTGGGGGGATGATGCAGTTGACCCACTATTTTACTTGCTGCTGCTCCATCTCAGCCCTCTGATGTTTCGTACAGATGCTTTCCTAGAACAGCTCATTGCTCACTTTGCACAGATAGAGATGCTTTGAGATGTGCATAAACTGAGTATAAAAATGGGAATAATGATCCTGGGTTAGGTTACACATGTGGATCTGCTGGTCCGATAATGATGCGTTGGCTTGTTTCCTTGAAACCTGCAGATTTCTGTGTATCCCATTGCCTGCCTGCCTTTCCCCTCATTTCCAATTGCTAGCAAGTCTCTGCTGGTAAAGTCTCTTAACTCAGCTGCCTGTCCTTTCTTGTTTCCTTTCCTCTGTGAAATTGGTCAGTGCCAGTAACCCATGGCTGGGGCAGTGGTTGATGTTGGGAGCTTCACAATGTAGCGTGGCACAAAAACCCATCCTCCAGCACAGGTATGCCGGTGAGAAAGCAAGAAGGGAGCATGTGTGAGATGATGTCCCACTGACGGTCTGCTGTGGTGTCTTCTGAATTATTTCTGAATTATTTGCATAAAGGGTTGGTTTCTGCTGGGGTTATCAGTCCCCTCCTGACTGCCCCATCACTGCAGGTTCACTGCCAAGATGGATACGGATGATGCTTTACCACGGATGCCTCACCATGTGCTGCCTTGCTCCTATGTGGTTTGGACATGAAGGGCAGTAGCTATCTGATTTGGACAGTTCCCCATTAGTTGTGCCACTGCTGGCTGACTCCCTCTAATATTTCAACTTCAAGGAAATGATTTGGCTTTTTTCCTCGGGCCAATCAAGGGAACGACCTGCTTCAGCACAGGTGACCTTGGAAATGCATTCGCATCATTTTCTCGTCTACTTCAGCCATCAAAATTGAATGATCATCTTGTATCAGCTCAGCTTGACACTAAATGACTGAAGAAGATATGTCAGAAGGGGAGAAGAAAGAAAAGTCACCTCTGGGTTATCAGTGTCTGTACAGAAAAGCTGCTGTGTCTCATTTTTGCTTTGTCCTCGCCAGCTCTCTAAGTCTGGATGCCCAGCGCAGTTTGCAATGAAAACTAGAGTCTGTGCTTAAAGACCCTGGAGGTCTCTGGGCATCTGTTTCCATCCCTAGAAATCCCTGCTGAAAATCAACTGCTTTGCTTCCTTCCCAGCTCTCAATTAAATGCTTGTTGTGGATTATCTGCTGTCAGGACACCCCTGTCTTGCAATATGAGGAGCTGGTCATGAGGGCTTAGAGGAGAGGTGTTGGTTAAAGGGCTGCTCCTACGTCTTCCTCTTGTTTGCGGGTTTCTTTTGCCATCAGAAGACCATCGTTCCCAGTGCTGTGTCCTGCATTTGCCCTCCTCTGATGGCCGTATCCTCCATGCCGGG